AACAATCGTTCAGACTTTTTTTCTGTATAAAGAAAACATTTTAGAAAATCCCCATATAAAAGATACATTTTGTGTAAACAGTCATTCAGTTTCGTCTACCATCTCATGCCAGCCTGTGAAATTATTTTCAGACATGTTATTATTTTTAGCCTTAAACTGCTTTTTATCATTTTTTTTTCGCCACTGAACGTTAATTTGATAGAAAAGCTGTGCACTGAAACTGGTACATGGAATCAATATGGAACCATATTAATTGTACAGAGTTTTTAAAAAATTCTCAAATATGATTAAATAAATAAGAAACAACAACAAAAGATATTGAAAAAAAAAAAGGCTATTTTTCATCCCTGAAAACAATGTATAGACTGACTTTTCAAATCATTATCACATATATATCATCATAATGCGAAAGCTTGGCTTATAAAACACCCAAATGAGACGGTGCATTATTAAACATAAAAAATCATTCGTGAATGATTTTCATCTAAGAGTTTTTTGGGATATACTCATTTCATTTCTGTTTCAGAACGGGTATATCAAAATTGCGAGATATCTGCAGCTGTGTTCAACTTGATAAATCATCGCATCAAAAGTCGTAGGTAAGATTAGGCTGTGAAAATCACCCGCACCCAACTTACTTACGCACTCTGGGCGAACATGGGCAGCTCACGCAAAACTGAATTGTTAACTTATATTAAGATAGGAACTCGAAGACCACCTTCTGCCTATATAATTAGGCGTACCTTTGGAAAATTTCTGAAAGCAAGCCAGTTCAATAAAAAAGATCGCGGTTAAACTCGACATCGATCGTGTTATAGCATCCACTAGCTCTAATGAAATATCATAACGAGCGTCCATCGTGCCATGTTTGTTACACGTTTTATCTGTGTCCGCCAGATGGCCCCTGTTCCAAGCTCGATGGCCATGTAATATCGTACAGAGTGATAGTGGAACCTTATGCACTATTGTAAAGTGACTTTTTCAAGGATAGGTTGCGCCCTTTATCTGAATGGCAACCTATCGGAGTGACTCCGCTTTCAGACGAGCAGACCGTATCCGCTGGAACGAAGTTCGCCAGTTAGACACGCAAGCGGAACAAATGATCAAATGCGATCAACAGATTTGCATTCCGGCTAGACCCTATGAACACTATGGCTGTAAGGTCGATACGCTATCAGACCTGATTAATTCCAAACAGCGCCACAGACCACATTTTAATGCTGGGACGTTCCGTAGACTTCGCTGGAAGCTATACCGATTGGTACGTCCCAAAATCTACTGCCTTATCTGTCGTCACGCATATACCATGACCGTTATTATCACGAGTGGTTCGATTGCGCCAGACTGGCCGGCGTACGAAGGGCTTTCTCTGTGCCTGACTTACCTCTGCTTATGTCCTTTTGACAGCTACCTGTATGCAAATCTGTAGACTTTCGATATGTAGTAGCTTCTTTGGTCGCCGCTCTAGGCACGACGAGCAAGCATAACAATTGGCCACAGTCGATCGATTAATCGTTCTATAAAAGCGAAGCTCTACTGACGCCGAACGCAGTGAGATATTACTGATGCTGTTTCTCGGCCTGAAAATCCTGGTCGCGTCACGGTCAACGCGTCAACTATTATTGTACATTATAATAACAGCTCATCGACTTTATGTTACTTTACTAACAACGAGGAACAATATGATGACCAGGAACGAAAGGCCCTTAAACACGATGAAGAAAACCGTATATAGAGAATGACTACAAGATTCGATGCATGTCGTAAAACAAACTAATCCAGACCAAACAACGAAATAAATACTACGCTAAAATGTAGTGTCGATGCGCGTTTGTAGACTATGTAGAATGGATACTCTGTAGCAAGTTATCTATTGTTCTGCCTCCGATCATCTGTGCCCTGAAAATTCAGCCCACACCTGCATGCGGCGGCCTATACAATACGGCGTATTTGTTGTTTTTCGACTTTACGTTCATATTTCCTGTTTGACAGGGTAATCCGTGAAATGGGCCGTCTTTCTTCAGCGGGCTGCTAGATAGTGACAGAGTCACTAATCTGCGATTTGCCTGACATAAATGATATAGAAGATATAATATAAATCATGATGGAAATGATTCAACAAACGAATGCATTTAGTATGACGTGGCCTATGGTGTACGATAAGGACATTTCTAACGATATCCATGCGTGGAACATTTGTGGGGATATCATGTTGACTGAACGGGATCAGTCTGCGACAGACTATGTACGATTAAAGCGAAATCAAAAGAATCATATCATGGACCTGTCCGTATACCTATGTAACTAGCAATCTGGGCAGAAAATAGAAAACCAACATGAATTCAGTACATATACATAAAAGGTACTATAACAGCGATACGTTCGATGATATGAAGACTGCAGCTGCTACGCAGTCACCTGTAAAATTGGGGAGTGCTACACCGAAATACTAGCCAAGACAGTTTTTATAGTACGAAATGCTCTAAGGAACACATACAAAATGGCTATGCGGCATTTTTTCATAGAATCATTAGAACTGCTAGTTAAAATTACGAAGTCGTTTGACAATACGTCATATATTTTTGGCAAACAACGTTTCGCTGACCCGTCAAATTAACAACGATGACCATGACCTAATTGAAGTCGTGGTTTACATTGCGATTTGTAACAAATCGTTTTAAAGCCAGAGCTTCATATCTCTAATAGATCTAATGCGAAAATAGGTTCACAGCTGTGGCCAGCTGACCGTTTGACTTAATTTCTGTCGAACGGAACGCGTTTAGACCCGCAAGCTGAGTAACCGCTCAACTGGAAGGTGGCGTTTTTTGGTACTGATAAAACAGTTGTTAGGGTTATTCTGAATAAGACGTTCGTGCCAGGGATACTCAAGTTTCAGACAAAGTATATGATAATTTTTGTGTATTATATGAGGTCATCACTGATGACGAAAAACACACAGATAGATACACTTCTGCTCACAGATCTATTTCATGTGCCAAAAAGCAATTTTTCGAAGGGGAAGTGCTTGCGCATAGTTACTGTGGCGTAGATCCAAGACTAGCAACCGAATCTGTTGTCAGAAGTTGTCGGACTAAGTTAGGTAACTGCGAAATACTCGTAGCTGTTACATTAACTTCTGCTATGAAAGAGGAAGACCAACAGAAGTGTCAGTCGGGTCCCTGGAGACTTTTCCGCCCTGAATTAGAATAGTCGTTGTCTATTATTAGGTTTTTTTTTTTGATGAACATACATTCAATCCCTGCCGTCTATTCAATACGTGCTATCTATACGGCCCCGTCTGGGGGGCTCGTGTCGCAAAGATAAAGTCTGAAAGGTTAACAGAAAGATAACCATAACGGTTTAAGCGACGTTACTTTTGTACTTCGAGTACGACTGCAGTGAAATATCAAAAGTTTAAGTAAACTAGCAGTTGAATAGGATCTGCAAGAACATATGCTATATCTTGGCTATGTTCAGATGACTAATGGAATCGAAGTGTATTAAGTAGATTGCTCCAGAGCAATTGCCCAGACAATACTTGTTTTAATGGCAGACTTGATGGACAGATTATTTATTCCTTATTATTAAACATAGCGGAAAAGTATCAGACTAATATGCCTTTCATTTACCAACGCAGTAATGGGCACACTAGCGCCATCTGGCGTCGTAAATATTCGATCCCACCTTATAGCCCGTGCGAAAAAGCTGCTTATGAACAGGTGTATTCCATTCTTCCACAAATGGCACGGATCTGACGTGAGTATAGTTTTTTTTTCCGGACTGCCTGATGCATTCTGTGTCAACATCAGCTGCGCTTAGCTTAGTTCCATTATGGAATCCTTTTGAAGAGCAAGACCAGGCTCGAGCACCGTGCACCCGTATTTTATGAAATCTCATTACCACTGGTATATTACGCGCCAGGACTTAATCCGTACGGTAAATTTTAATAGCGCTAATCATCATAAACGCCTTCCCCAGAAGGAGCAGCGACATCATAAACGTTGATATTCTTAAGATAACTGGAGGTTGGACTGAAGGACCGGAGGAGTGGACCGAAATAGCTGCATTTAAGCCAAAAACAGATCAATGGTGCCGTCGCGACGAGAACGAATAACCGTTGGAAAGAACCTTTGATCCCAAAAAAACTCGATAGAGCGAACTTCGCCGAACTTTGGATCAGCCTCAACATCAACAATCGCAGTACGGGGAGATGGACAATCGAAGTTCTTGCCCGACTTAGAGTTTGTTTAAGGCTGACATTGCCAGCGCGACCATGACTAAGTATGGTCGCTCGTCAGTTCTATAGAAACCCCTTGCGTTGCCGAGATAACTTTCAAACGTCCGGCGTCGTCTTTGTTAATGCTGCTTAGGCATTTTAGAGAGTCGTCACAAAATCAACGAGTGGTCCCTGCAATTGAATATGCATGCTTGTTTATTGAGCAGGATATACAATAAGAACATATTATGGACGCGTCCGATCTAGCAACAAATCTACAAGCAAAACGGAGTATTTAGTGTAACGGAGAAGGTTCAATGCGGCAGACTCTAAGCGTAAAAGGGTCAAGCTAAGATCATGCATCTGTAAACTAAAAAAGAAAACCGTACGTTAGTTAAATAATGTTAATTTCGGAGGTCCAGACAAGGAAACCCTGACTCCTTTCTACAAATGACCGTTTATAACAGTTGGAGCCTTCCGGGTTCGCAGATTGACGCAGGCGCGCATCTAACCCATTCTGTCGCCTGGGTTCCTCTTCATCTGGGCTCTTTAGTTTTTCTCTAGACAGCAGGTGATGAAGGGCCGGCCGTACGTACTGTCACACAACGTCCCTTCCACAAATAGTCATTAGACAGTTTTATGTATGAGCGTCGAAAATAACATGCCGAATTGTTCCGAACCTTCTATCAGCAAAGCAAAGCTCAAGAGTCGTATGTACGCAGCTTCTAAATAAAGCGTATTTATGCTCTGTAACAATATTTTATTTAAATGAAACAAATAAAAGTAACCCAAATGTAACCCCTGAACTCGACAAATATTCACAGGTGGTACTTGACTTGGTGTTAGCCATTTCCTTAGACCTTCGTTTCAGTATTTCTTCCAATTATGCTACTTTGTACGCAGGATTTTTGCTTTTATCAGAATTGAACTTATTAATTAATATACAGGCAAAAAAGCGCCGCCAGCGGTCGTCAGGCCAACGCCGGTTTCAAATGCTACCTTTATCGCTCATGTGAGTCCTGTTTAGAGCGTCTCACTGTCTCATCCGAATCGTGCGCACTTCCGAATCGTCCCACTGTAAATATCTGTTCGATATTTTTCATCAGTAAATTTTCAGACGCTAGCAGCGCTGTCTCAGATGTTCCCCCTGTTGAATCTTTTAGGACGTAGCTGGTTTTGACTAGGCATCACGCACATGTAACCCTTCGGGCTGGCATCGATAGCATGTTTCCTATACTAGGAAACAATACTCATGCTTCTTTTTAATGTAGAACGATCTTCGGAATAAGGGATAACAAGTAGAAAAATGATTTTATTCATTTAAATTAATAGTTCCATTCTTTCGTGTCCCGCACGACTATTGGCGGTCTTCATCTACTACAAATTTTTCATGTTTCAAAAACGTTTTCACGATGAATGCGGTAATTTTATTTGCTTGTTGCACCAACGTCATATGTACAATAGGCTATATAATTGTACGTGGCTCTGAACGAGGACTTGAGCAGCTAGGCGATAAATTTACTCGAAAATATCTTTGGCTAGATTAACGGGTTCCAAGTTCTAGTCGATCCTGCCAAGCACCAAAGTAGCCGTCACTCAGAGGCACACGTTTTTAATCTTCCTACTTTATACTCTTGCATGTTTCTTTACTTCTACATACGATTTGAAAGTATTTTCTCCATTCTGTAAGTTTGCTATAATTAATTATTTGTATTTATTCGTTCACTTACTTTATTTCGTTATTTATCGAAGTCAAACGATTGTTGAACCACCATGGGATATTCGTGCCATGCACAGTGAGTACTCTAAAACTGAGGCACGTTTAAGAATAGCACGTTAAGACTGGAAGATGCAGCTCGCTTCTGTCGGATAGCTGAGGTTGATAAGGAGCGATTGAAGGCGCTTTTGAAGTTGAAGCAATTTGTAAACTGGTTGAGAAAATGAAATGCGGTCATATGACTATCGATGGGCACCTTATATTCATAGGATTTACTCTAAAAATTAGGAGCTCCGGGTGCCCCAAAAACTGAGTGAACGTCATGAAAGAATACGGTTTTCCATTGCCTCTCAATCTGTTGCCCGGCATTAAGTAACACAAAGTATAAGAACTGGTTTTTATAGAGAACTTTCACCTTTAATGAAAAGTAACATTTCTAGCTCGATATCAAAAAGCCAAAAAAAAAAATGGCTAGTCCCAGAGGTACATCTGTCCGTAGAGCTACAGCAAACCTCGATCGATTATTTATGTTTTGTGGGAGACGCTTAAAAAGAACAAGACGCTACATACACAACGATACAAATATATCCCAGCTGCGTCAACTAAATACACCTAACTATTCAACAGACGAGGCAAAATCGCTTCCTGCCTATTGAAACCTAGTAGAAAGTTGAATGGAGGATAATACTCACTCCAACGAATCATTATTACGTTGTCCGATAACTAAAAAATATTAGGGAACAATGAGTAAATTAATTAGCAGACCGAAGAAACGTGCCGTAACTTAATTTTTTATATTAAAATTTGAACAATATAATGCGTTTTCTTGCCAAAAATTTCCCTATATAATTGATTCTACACTATCAAAGGAACTTATTACATATATATATATATTTAGGTTTTGAAACAGGTGTCAACTGCTGTGCGTTGATAACACGGACATCCTAGAGGTAACATACAGTTTTTCTTTAATTTTGCGAGACCAAGGGTGATATACCATAATAATTTATTTATTCGTCTATTTATTAAATACTGTTTAAATTAAATCGGAAAGCGTTTTTTCATCGTGGGTTCATAGTATCTGTACGAGGATATTTGTAAATTTATGTGTCCTATTATAGATAAACCAAAACTTTACTTAGGTTGAGTATTTGCTCTTAACTTAATTGCGTCACGAATTAGATAAGTGCTTATCATATTAATTAGGACATCGTGGAGTAACTACCTTCTGTCTATACGCAGGAAGTTCTTTGATGAAGCCGGGCTTAGGTCACCTCCTTTGACGCTAGGGCTTCTACATTCACAATCTGACAGAGTACTTCGGGCAAATTGACGATATAGACAACTCAGGAGTTAATTGTTATTACTGTCATTATTGATTTTCCCGCAGAAGAGTCAAAATCCAAGATTTGTTTCTATATGTAACAATCTAAGTTCATCGACGTTAATCTAAATCCGGTCTATGTTTGGACATCGCAGTGAACGACTTGCCTGTAGTGACAACTACATATTGTCTATGAACTTCTGCGATTTACTAGGCAAGGACCTTCATGAAGAACGATTGCCGATTGACTGGTCAATATTTTGTACAGTGATGGGTCATCAAAGGGGAAGTAGGATTTTTTGGTGACGACGTTGTTAATTGTTCAAAGATCATCACGCTCTTGACGTAGTGTCGCCGAAACCGAACAGGAAACGTTTGTGATACGTAATACATTACTCAGACGAAACGTGTGTCTTGTAAGCGAAAACCATGACCAGCACTAGACGACTGCTGCAACTATTTTTTGCGCCATCACCAGCAAATTAGCAAAAAGGAAAAAAATAACGAATGACTATCTAGAAGAACGAAGTAGCCCAAGCGATCACCAGTCAAAGGAAGAGATAAATGAAACATTGGGCGTATTCCAGTACTCGAAATTCCACTACGAAAACAATTTCACCGATAGATTGCTATCATCTTTTTTTTTTTAATACTGTTATAACTATACTATAAGAAAAAAAAGACTAATTTTAACCAATATAGACGACTGGTTCTTTTGCATCGAAGCATTTCGTAACCGTAATGATACACATCTGTGGATAGAATATTCTATTATAAATACGAACGGGAGCTATACTAAGCATCACTTGAACGCAACTTTCTTATAGATCATAAGGGTCCGATTTAGCTTCACACGTGTCACAGCTTGCAACTTTAACTTGCGCATAATTATCTACTCGTATAACAACGTTGGCTATGTTTTTTTAAGAAAATCTAAAAATCATGGATTTTTAATGATTGCGTTAACATCTAGCAATCATTAAAAATCGAAGCTTGACCTTACCTTGTTAGTAGCGCAACCCAAAAGTCAATTGAAACTCACAATTTTATTGTGACAATAAGTTAGGTTTTTTGACGCAGATCGATTATCTCGCTTTTACTGTTTACCTGCCGCAAATTATTAATTGCTGAGCGTATGTTTCCTATATTAAAACGTATTTCAACCTCTAAATTCATGAGTCGCTGATGAAAAACTACTGACTTGGCGCGACTGTTGACCGAATTTCGTCTGCTAGCAATGCCTGGCTTAAGCGTTATAGTTCCAAACAAGTTGACAGTTGATTTTAGAACAATAGTGGGTATCGCTCGGTTTCTATTATCGTACTGTAAATTAGACCATACATCAATATTAGATGCTTCTTTTACTCTCACATAACTTACATGGTTCAAGCAGATAGTACATCCTATTTTCATGTTCACACCAGCCTGACCCTTACTTATTATATACATATAAGGAACAAACTGGTAAAAAGCAATAGGTGACGATGAAGCGTCGATCTCCGAACTTAACTGCTTCTATCAGGGGTAAAATGTTTGTGTGGCTATTGATTAGGTGGGGTGGGGGGGCTAATAAAACAAATAAAAACATTTGCTGCTTACTATGTTTTAGCAGTTTATGCTGCATCGAGGACACTTTATGCCAATAACATATAATTAGTGCGATTTGTATTTGGATTATTTCGATTTATCCTACGACATATACGTTGTGAAAAGGTAAAGGCTATGTGGTTGCTGCAATGACGCTCGCCCAAAAAAATAGTTTTATTTTGTCTTGCGTTTAGATAACTTCGATCTAAGTTTAGTTCTATCCCAGTATCTAGCTCGCAGGCCTCAATCCAGGCCCATGATAAAATCTTCAAAATGTTAATGTTCGCGTTCCGGCAGGACCAGCAGATATATTCCACAGTTATTGAAGTTACGTACCGAAACAACAAATTGAAGACGCGTTTATTTTGGACGAGAAGCATAGGCCAACCGCCTTGCGTAAATATAACTCTATTTTCGTACATACATATGTCTCTATTAGAGATTTTACATATGTTGAAATGTTTATATGGCACTAGTCCTGTACAAATATGTACATAGTCAGGTTTTCATTCGATGAAGCTCACTCATTCATTAATATCGAAAGTCGCCGATTATTTTTATCGATCCTGCGATCCGGCCAAGATCGATTTCGCTGTTGAATGAAATTTGTTCACAGGCACCTATCTACGCGTTGTATTAGAAAAAGGTTTATTTATACGACAGCTTCTTCTTCGTCCTGTTCGGTAATGTCAAAACGATCTCATTGTCTAAGATACCGTCCGACAACAATCTAATTACGAGCTAGTCGGGTAAAAACGTATATGACGTATAAATATATATTACAGCAAAAAGTTCACCACAGGCTAACAGTTCAATCAATTTTTCAACTAACGGAACGCCGTGCATATAAGATTTCATCAATTACAGTTAAGTTTAATATGATCACGAAACTTAATCCGAAATATCATTGCATTTGACACAGTCCTGCATATTCGGGTTCCACTCCTCTACTTGTACAGTGACCTCAAAGAAAGCATATTTATCTCGGAGTTTTCTCACGCACTCCTTTTGTACTCGGTGATAGTCCGTCGTGCCTACTTCGATGCCGACATGAGTGCTCAGCACAGTCTTCTCCATAGTAAGCGCCCAGATTCGAAGGTTGTGCACATGTTTTACACCTCGTACTTCCGTGAGGAGTTCACGTACTTCGCCGAAATCGATTCCTTTTGGCTTGCCCTCCATCAGCACCATGATCGTTTCCTTCAAAATGGTTATCGTCGTAAATAACACAAGTACCGAAAACAGAAATGTGCAGATTGGGTCGACGATGCTGTATTCTGGCCAGAAATGGATAATTAGCGCGGCTACAAAGACCCCCAGCGACTGAAGGAAATCGCCGATCACATGAATGAGTGCAGCGCGCACATTGATATTGGAATTGGCATCCTGTTCATGTGAATGACCATATTTTGTGTCCACTACACGGCCTTGTTCTAAGTCATCATCTGCATGCTTTCCGCCGTCGTGGGTGTGCGCTCCGCTTGTACCGCCATGTGAGTGCCCATGTGAAAGGCCCCCGTAGTGCAACGAACACCCCATGATGATATTGACGATAACGCCAATACCCGCCGATATTAGCATGACCAGCGAATCGATTTCATACTCCTTTTTCACAATACGCTCGACCGCTAAATAGACGAGAATTCCGGTCACGACCCAAATGAGCAGCACGGACGTGAGCGCGCCAATCACTTCGGCTCGGTGCCATCCGAAGCTCATGCGTTTCGACGCGGGTCGCGCCGAGATCCAAATGGCAAACAAACTGATCATAAACGATGCGAAATCGGTAAGTAGATGCGCGGCATCTGTGGCAATCGCCAATGAATTGGCTAGGACGCCTCCAACGCACTCAATCAGCATAAAAAGAAGACAGAGGATCGAGGCAATAATTAATTTTCGTTTGGCCGCTGCATTCGTACTGACCGACGTCTCGGCGTGACAGTGATCCGAACTTGACGAATCGCTTAGGTCTTGATACCGGCAGACAGTGTCCTTATGGTTGCAGTCACAGTCCTTTCGACCGTGGATGCATTTTGATGTCTCAATGGTGGAGTAATGCTGTCGCTTCTTTCGGCTCGTGCTACCATCCTCCGTTGTCAAAGGGGTCTCTTCAAAGTCGGAGAACTTGCCAGTTCTACCTGACGGTTTGACCATACTGCCGCTATTGATTTCCACTGAAATTTCACCGGGAAAAACGTAAAAACTGATCAGACATGGAACATTAGCAATAGCAAGTTATAGTCGTGCCTTTCCGTTTTCGCTTCGAATGTCGGCTGTTGATATTAGCACGATGCCATGTAAGTTAAATCGTTTGGAAACGAAAAATGATGGTGAAAAATTATACAAGCTAATAGAAAAAGCTTTTTGTTTTTTTCTGGGTGTAACTTTATTAGTGCTGGTTAAGTTCGGTAGGAATGAGCGTCTTTATCGATTGTTTCTGTAGTTCTGCTAGGTTTTAGTTGGAAGTCCAATGCACGCGACAAATAAATTTACGTCTATGTGAATGACTAAAGCTATTGCTGAATATGTTTTAATTATTTCTGTTACTGCCAAATAGTCCTCACAAGTAATGACGCTGAAGAAGGTATTGGCTTCAACTTAGCGATGAGCTCTGTTTCCGGTAATAAAAATAGGATAAGTTACTGCTTCAGCTTTGAATCATAATTTGCCATTGGCACACGCGCCCGTAAGCTCATAGCGATGTTAGCGTACTTGGAAGGGTTGTGGCAATGCATCGATAGCCACTTATCTTACATGAAGGAACATTTAGTAACGACCACGCCTCATTCCGCAGATCTGGCCCCTATAGAAAATCATTCTGATAAGTTCACAGTTCGAGTGTGACCCTTTCCAAGATAGCAATAATAAATAATTATCAGCGCCGTAAGAAGGCTGTCTTGAACGTAGGGACTACATCAGGATATGGTAAATTCACGGAGCGGTTTGTACCTCGTAAGTAACATAGCGTTCGACAAAATTTAGGTTAACCTGTGTATTTCGAGTTTTCCGTCCGGTATTGCCGTTCGACATTTGATCAGACGGCTGGCTCCCAACACGAAAGCAAGTGTATCTATGCGCAGGTTCAAACCTAGACTACAACGGGGACCTAATCGAATAGAAGGTTAACCTTTGTAGAGCTCTACTAATCGTATATTGTAAGCGAGCGGCAGTCTTGGGGCAGTCCATAAAAAGTGTAAATAGTAAATATTAGAGACAACTCGACGGAAGTAATTTCACTACCAATAAAGTTAGACTCGTATTGTATTTTCTAACTGGATGGGGTCATTTGTATACAAATCAGGGGTAATCCTGGGCTTCGGTTACGCAAATTTGTCGTTTCGAAAATAGTTCATAGATGTTTTATGCTGTTTCCACGTGGTAAAGAAGAAGGCTGATCTGGAAAATATACTGAGCTATGACTAATTGCATAGATAAAACCGCATGGCCCAATAATCATATTGTCCTATCAGGTACAAACAGGCTGAAAACAATATATGGATCAGCATTTCCTTCCGATTCAGTAATCTCAGTTTATCAATAAGTACGGTTTTATGTTTTGTTATATATTGCATCTCAACGAAAAGGCTCAGTTTTTTATAGGGGACACCGATCTATTTTTTAAGCGCAGGTCCTCTAATAGATAGTTGTATAAAAATGCCTATTCAACAACACGTATGTCAAGATGAAAAGACTGGACAAGTCTGCCGCTAGTGGCAAGGACGCTGATTTCTAAATGAAGTCAAACTTTTAACAAGTGGATAAACAAAGTTGATGGTTTCCATTCAGGTAAAAATACGCGCCACATGCCATATGAAGACCAGTATAATAATTAGCTATTATAATAAATATAATAGCTATTATAATAAATATAATATATCCAGCGTTTTCACGTCCTTATTAACACCAGTTAAAGAAATAAATGTTTAGAGTTTTACATCCGGTATTATCGTCAAGCGTTGCTTCAGACCGCGCGGGCTCGGAACTTACATGGCGACGGGTGTTCGTCTCGATCCAATGGTCCGTTCTGCATAGGGACATTCCGAGTAGGCGCACCGTGTGGTCCGTTTTCAAGCTTTTTGGAGCCATCATAATTTGACGGCGTTATTGGCTGTTGCGCATTATCTCTAACATGAATTGCCATTGATTTGGCCTCCTCTTCGAGCTTTAACCTCTTGGCGTCATTGTCCGACCCCGTGACAGCGCCAGCCTTTGACAGATGGCCGTTTACTAGCAAACACCCATTATTTCAGGACAGTGCTCACTAACCCTGCTCCCGTCGTGTAGAATCCATTCAGAGAGGGCTAGTGGGTACGGCAAAACCTATTTCGGTAGCTGATTGCTCTATAGATAGTAAAAACCAAACGTTTATTGTCTAGCTGAAGCGAAGAAGACTAACTTTTCCAGAGGGACTCCCAATATGCCACTATAAGTGCTATAAGTAGCTTACTGATACGACCTTTCCAGAGTCACAACAATTAATGGGACTTTGGGTTTTAGGACAAACGATTTCGAGAAATAAATTCGTACTGGTTTGTATTTTTTCTTTTAATAAAGGTGCTCCTCTATTAGCTGTAGCGCAACAGGTGGATCCTTCGGACCTTACTTACAGTAGCAGCTCCGCTTACTTAAAGTAGGCCGACTACCCTGGTCCGTGAGCACAGTCAAAGTATGATCCATTTTGGGTATTCCCTATTAAGTTTACTACTTGTTTCAAAATGATCTAACCCTTCGTTCACTTCCTTTCCATCAGCTAGTTACACCGAATAATAATCATCCGTTCGTTTTCGGCCGAATTTGCTACGGAGGAACCGGGTTTTTGAGACCATATCTCACAACTTACTGCTATCATTACGCTATCAGCAACTATCTGAATATTAGTTACCGTAGGCAACAGGCGCAATCCACTGCTTAGCGTTCTTTCCTCGGCCATGTGCCATTGACTCTGTGTATAATTTGCTCAGAAAATGCCTATTTCCATTTTTACTTCACTTCCTCACTCTTCTCTGCCTTTCCACTCACGAAGTTTCATCGATGTTGCACCAGTTGCATGTTCACGAGTTGTACACGCACTTCGCCTTTAATACCCTGTCGCCGGTTTTCTGTTTTCTTCCAGGTACCATGACATTCGTTCCGAAAAAGATTCGCTCTCCTACTGTGAGGATTCCCTCCGTGCACGTATCCTTACGTACGCACTTATGCACGTATATATATGCGCATAAGCAAATAAATCGCGGGAACACACGACATAAATTTCTCCACGACCGTTCGGTGTGAGAAAGCGCGGCAGATTGGCTTCTCCGTATCAAGTCAGCGACATAATCTTCAACCGCCGCACACGTCTAGCAATTCTAGCGAAAGAAAAACCTTATGACAAAGGGGTACAGCTATGTACTGCTAGGCAAAATTATCGCCTATAGCATAAATGAACGGACAAGCGTTTTACTCTGACGCGAAGTAAATACACACGGCCCCGTCTTGCCACAGTTACGGCGGGAATTGCGACGCTTTCTAAATTATTACTGTCCAACTGATTGGTCTCTTGGCAAATGCGTAGCAGTAAATATTAACAATGTTTATAAAGGCAATGTTTGTATATTACAGGATCCTCCGTGTACCCGTCTCGCCTACATACGCTCGGCAATATTGAGCGTGGAAACGCGACCAACGCCACAGGCGCGATGTCGCAGTGGTTCGTCACGTCCAGTCAACAACAACAAAGCTTAGATAATACAATTCCTATGGCGAGCGCGTGTCGCCGAGACGCTTCACTGTGTCACGCTGTTCCGAGAAGTAGTGGCTAAAGGGAGCGCGTCTACTGCCTATCCTGCGTCTGTAGATGTGTCCTAGTTTGTTTGCATTCGTATTGGTAATAGTTAGTGTTGGTCGGTTAACAGATATGGTACCGTTGTCCGTGAAGAAATTAGTGAAAATCGACAGGAAAAAAAAACGTATTTTATGGTAGCCAGTGTCCAGTTCGAATATATTTTGCATGAAAGCCAACGAAAGTTTAGCGGAATTGGACTAACGACATAGATATGTAGTTCTGCTCATAGATACGCTAGAAGTTATTATTAGAAGTATTAACTAGAAGTAAATTTTCAAGTTGTAGGTTGTAATCGAAGATTTCTTCGATCGAAAATATCTTATAAGCGAAATCTGCTGAAATTAACACCTACGAAAGGACAGATAGTCGGGCCGTCTACGAAGTTCATGTCGTGAGAAGTTAACTGTAATAACACACAATAGGTCATAAGGTTTATAAAACAGAGAAAGTTTTCAAGTAGATAGATTTATTTCGTTACCGTAAGCGCAAGGTAAGTTCCATTGAAAATCGTTCGCAATAGATCAGAATATCCATTAATTATAGGGTTAAGACAAAAAAGTGAACTTCTCCAGACAATAAAATAACTACCGTATGGTTAACTTTCTTCTATGGCTTGATTCTATATAATTGTTGTGATACTGTTCTCATAGTGGTCACATCGTCAAACATCCGTTTACACATGAACTTCGACATAAATAAGTAAGTTCAACATAAAGCCGCATGGATCCATCTCTTACGGATAGCGCTTTTTTTAAACGTCGACGCTTCTCCGTGTCTCGTAGCAGATTGTAACGACGCCTTAGATCATTATCGGTAAAAGCCTACGGTGAAGCGACAGGGACGAATCATACAAGAGACATCGTCGGTTGGAAAATTGCGCCGATACTCTTAGTTAAAGTCGAGTATCCGCCGTTACGTAGATGTCTTAATTTCGCATCATTAGCGTGCTAAAAAGACGACAGTGGGTTTTCCAACGGTACAAGCGACTATTATATGACTGCTGTCTGAGCAAAGTAAGAATCGATAGTTCCAGTTGTTCCGAATTCTCATCGGACACGATCTGTATTCTACATTAGATCAGGATACAATTAATATCTTAAACATCAATTAAAAATATTTCATTAATTAGGCGGCGGTAAAACATATTCGGATATTTTTTTATTTTAGGAAATTTTCTAGAAAAAAAAAACTGAAAGAAACTGTTAAAAACGTCAGTATACATTCTCCTATGGCACCATTATTAAAGAAAATGCCCAGTAGTCTCAAAATCATTTGCGTGATACCAAAGAAAAACTGGTTTGCCGCTCCCAAGTTTTTCGCAAATTATCAACTTGAGATAGCAGTTACATCCAGAACGTAGTGCTCGAATCATTTGAAAACTTTATATATGTAGCATCCTTATGATCCGCATCACTATCGCCTCCATTACCATTGGCCGCAGAGGTAGAGTGTCAATAGTAGGAACACGAGATTAATGACCATCACCACACATCGTTTGGCAGCGCAATGTATTTTGGTGCCTCCAACAGATTGATAACTTGGTCGCTGACACCTAATATCTACGCCGGACGGTATATAATCCAACGGAGAAGACCGCATCGCGATACGATAACCGGTGTGAATAAATCGACCTCCCAGATCGGCCAAGGGCCGTGTGCATTGTCGAGTCGTTATTGCGCCTTAATAGCGTTAGTAGGCCAACTGTTTGACGCACGTCCCGTCGCGGCTAAATCATTGAACAAGACAGGGGACGTGTGCAGAGGACGCTGTTATTGTCCAGTCTGCTGACACAATAGCTCATCTCTTCTTATCAGACTACACATACGCCCTAGATAGGCAGCGCAGCCACAATCTCACAGGCCGCTCATTTTCCCTAGAAGATTAACAACAGTGAAATCCCTCTTCAGCAATTTTCATGTGTCCTCAGTCAGGGTCGAGCAGAAAGTTCGCAAAATCCGTATGTTCAGGTAGGAAACTGGCGCTTTACAAACATCTAGATTGGTTAGTGATCCTTAGTGCTATTGTGAAGTCATCGATCCGTATCAGATGAGATTTTCCTTCTTGTCTGTTCGCAAGCCTCCTTTAGCGAAAACAATATGCTGAACCGTTTACTAAATCAATATCATGCAATGCTAAATTTGCAGAAAAATTCAGTATAACATTAGTGGCTTAATAATATGCCTATATAATAGTTCTTGAAACAACGTTGTCCAATACGTCGGTGTATTAATTGAGTATTTTTAACTGCCGTGAACGTTTGAGCAGCATGTCATAAACCCTACCAGACTTTTAAGCGAGCCTACTTTTTTCATCATCGTCGTGCCAATCAGTCGGCATCCCCTAAGTTTGAAAAAAAAACTCTGCCATCTAGAATAATTCATGCCTTTTTAACTATATTAGCGCGTTACTAACTTCCGGCCACGAGACAGACACGAACGCTGCAAAGGCCCTACGTTTCGTGCCTTGTAAGTAACACGATGTATAATTGAGTCACACATACATAGTCCTCATTCTTTCTTGGTGCTTTTTATTCTTTCAATGGTTCAAGGATGTACCTGTGATAATGTTTGTTGTCGATGTTTTTTTGACGAAAAACACAAACTAACTACGCTAGTGTATTGTATATTCAGGTCAAGAAGGAACAGGCTACTACTATAAGTGACCAGAAAAATCAGACCCGATAGATTACAGTAGTTAGATCGAATTAACGATGCCTACCGATTCTAATTGCTTTCGTCCAATCATTCTGGATGGTTGACAAATCCTGTCTCTGATCGGATTCGGAACCGAGCTTTGTCCGTTAATTACCGAAAGGCACCATTTACGGAAGGCACAGGTGACCAACGACGGCTGAAATACCGTTTGACTTGTCGTTCGTCGACTATCGTGGACTAACTAAACGCTTGACGTAGTTTGGAAACATATTTAAACGCCTGATCCAGCTACGACCGGCAGCTGTGCCTATCGCATAGAACGAGATAGCGTCAATTTAATTAATGGCTTATTCGAAAGATGATGATTCATAGAAATTGTACTATTATAGCGTCGCCTAGGCGCACAAACATAGCATCGGCCGGAGTGATGCAAAATAATTATATCTATTTACTAAGCTGTTACAAACAAATCTGACGGACGTTCAAATAACTTTTAATCTAGACGGCGTTCTAGACAAACGAAATTCTGGCTAATAAATATTCCAGTCGTCCAGGAAGGGCTACATGGCGGAGTATTAGGCTCAAAAAGGTTTTTCAATGTTGAAAACTAGCCCTCGGTGGCTAATTATTGCTCCTCAAATGTCACAGCGCCTGGGAAATTGACGAATATACCCAGATTCAAATCCGTGTGATTACGGGGCTTCCCATGCCCTAAAAAGGACAACTAATAAATAGGCAGATATATCCCACTATCGATTTACTTCGAGGCATGAATAAGGAAATTTCATATGGCAGCGTGAATGATAGGTATACGATTATTCAGAAGCTGCCAGAAAGCTAGGGCAAGTGTGTAAAAAATAAAAAACAGTATTTCCAACACAACTTCAGCTGAACAAGTTCCAAAGTTACTCTATTTCAAAGCCCGTTTTTTTTTTATAAAGGTTTAATATATATATATATTAATCGATATTCAAGATAATACGGTATCTACCAGTAGACAAATACTGTTCGTTACATAGTGAAAGGTAACGGTCAAACTGAATACTTGGCCGAATGTCATAGGCCGAAAGTGAATAGTGAGTATTTTTATAATATCTGCAAAAATGCTAATCCCTGCAATCTGCACGAAATGCTCTAATTAGACGTGTGCCGACAAAACTAACGGTAAAAAAGAAGGGGTTCGCTTTGTTATGTCGTACTCATTCCAAGCGGGGTTTGTAGCGCCAGTTTAGGCTGACGAGATTAGTAATGGTGGACAGCAAATGCACGGAACAGAGTACGTTTTTCATGGAACGAAAAATCAACTTGTTTGATTCTTTCAATGGTTTGTAGAATTTGAATTTGGTTGGCTAGATGACGAGTGTGACGGCTGGGACGTGTTCTCGGAACGAAACCATTGTGAGGTTATAGGATCATCTTTGCATACCGTCGCGTCGAAAGCGTATAAATTGGGTAGAAAGGTTTTTAGTTAAAACGTGGACGATATGTGAACTATAAGTTATTACACAGTTGGCTGCGGCACGGTATTAGTCTAGCCGACGGAAATTATAAACAATTAGTGCAACAGACAAATATGCCAATGATTTTTCTGCAATGCAAACGATGCCAAAGCTTATTTCATTTAGCAACTGAATCCCCTAATCCTCTGTTAAAGGCACGCTTTTTAAAACAGCTGAGGCTCTTTAATACGTCTTGCTCACTGATCGCAAGTATTAGTTTAAACAACAGTCATAATACACGTCGGCCAGCCATACGTAGAACGAATTCAATTAAAAAAAAAAAAAAACAATTGACAAATATTCCACCGTCCACTTTTTGTCGTAACTTCCCCTTTATCTAGTTTTATGTATCATATACCATCTTTTTTTTTTTACCCCGTAGATGGTAGAATAGTGACTTATATTCTTTGCAAACACAATTTTTTTGTTGGCTGTTGACCACTTAGATTTTTTCTCAGTTCTCGTCGGTATGATACGATAATTAATTTTGTACAACTTTTCTTGCGGCAAACTTTATTGTATAGCAAGTTACCTTGTTCAGCTGAGCTATTCACAGTAGATGACAGGATTCAGTCCATAATTAGACGTATGTTTGAACATTTCATATATGGATTACACTGAGAAATTAGCTTCCAACGGTATCAGGCATTAAATCCTGCCTAAAACACACGCTAAGACATGCCGCCCAAGAAGCACTAACCGCCTCGTACCTCTTGATTTAAACCGCAGTGAAAATATTAAATAGAACTACGTACCAAATTAATATTGTGAGTAGGATCTGTCCAAGTGTTAGCCACCGGGTCCTTATTGGCCAAGAACCTGCACAAGGACGACGCTTTGGTCCTGAATGCACACTGAAGTAGCTGCAATAACAACAGTAACAGAAGAAATGTGCTATTATTTACTTAGTTGGTTTTAAGGTTCTGCGCCAAGGTGACTGAACCGATCGCTAAATTTAGAGTTCAACGAAAATAGCCTGCGGGTCCAGGAGCCTAGGGGTGACACGTTCCATTTTTTTACACAAGGACGGCCTACTGGTAGACAAGTCGCCCAGGCCGACGCGAAGCGGTGCAATACATCAATAGGGAATTTTCGGTTAGCTGTTGTTCACGCAAATTCGTCAAACGATACGGCTGCCAGACACGATATTGCCAAGCTTCTCTGCCGTTACG